AACTGACACACTGACTGACATCAACTGACACACATACACAAACACACTGACTGACATCAACTGACACACATACAACAACTGACACACATACAACAACTGACACACTGACTGACATCAACTGACACACACAACTGACACGCACAATGACTGATGCGAACTGACACATACTTACAACAACTGACACCCACCCACTGACTGACATCAACTGACACACATACTTGCATAACTGACACACACACACACACATACACACACTGACTGACATCAACTGACACACATACAGCAACTGACACACCCACTGACTGACATCAACTGACACACATACAGCAACTGACACACCCACTGACTGACATCAACTGACACACACACACACACACACACACTGACTGACATCAACTGACACACATACTTACAACAACTGACACACATACACACACACACTGACTGACATCAACTGACACACGCTGACTAACATCAACTGACACACATACAACAACTGACACACATACATCAACTGACACACATACAACTGACACGCATACAACAACTGACACACATACAACAACTGACACGCATACATACAGCAACTGACAAACACACTGAGTGATAACTGACCCCTGGAGGATGAGCTGAACATTGCCAGCTGAAGTAGACCAGCCAATGTCCGGCCGACTGATGCAGCCACTGACCTCTATGTGTGTGTGTGTGTGTTCAGGCTAAAGCGCTGCTCAGCAGCAGTGTGTGTTCGCTGCAGCAGGAGCTGGAGGTGCTAAAGGAGCAGCTGGAGGAGGAGCAGGAGAGCAAACAGGAGCTGCAGCGGCTCGTCTCCAAACTCAACAGCGACGTCACACACTGGAGGAGCAGATCTGAAGCGGACACTATACAACACTGCGACGAGCTGGAGGAGACCAAGTATGAGACGCACACTTTTGAAACACACACACTTACTGACAACTGACACACTGACAACAACTGACACACATGCACACACACTTAATGACAGCAACTGACACATCTGTGTGTGCACCGCAGGAAGAAGCTGTGTGCGCGTCTGCAGGAGGCAGAGGAGGCGGCGGAGGCCACTCAGGCCAAATGCTGCAGTCTGGAGAAAAGCAAACAGAGACTGCAGGGAGAAGTGGAGGAGCTGTGTGCAGATCTGGAGAAGGTGATTTATTACACAGAAAAACACACACACACACAGAGACACAGAGACAAAGAGGAGGTGCTGAGGAAGAGATAAAGTAGATCCAGCAGGTTGATCTCTCAGAATAAAGCCAGACAGGTTTATCAGGAGCTGCTGTAGAGGACTGAAGGTTTTATTCTGAGATAACAACCACCTGGATGTGCTTTATCCTGATTATTACACGGCTGCTGGCCACAAAACATAAACATTAGACACTAAACATTGTTCTAAGCCCAAATAGTTTATTATTTCTTTAATTAAACATAAAGCAGACAGAGCCAGCTGATGGAGTATACACTAACCTGTGCATTATTCTGACACTAGATGGCGCCAAACAGTCAAAAACACAAAGCTGACAGTGTGTGTGTGCTTAACCAGTATTGATGTGTGTGTGTGTGCTTAACCAGTAATGATGTGTGTGTGTGTGTGTAGGCCGTCAGTGTGTGTGCAGTGCTGGAGAAGAAGCAGAAGATGCTGGAGCGTCAGCAGAGCGACTGGAAGCAGAAGAGTGAAGATCTGCTGCTGGAGCTGGAGAACTGCAGGACGGAGAGCAGAAAACACAGCGCAGAGTTATTCAAGATCAGGAGCGTGTATGAGGAGAGCAGCGAGGAGAGGGAGGCGATGCGGAGGGAGAATAACACACTGCAGGGTAACACACACACACATACACACAGTGTAGAGTTATTCAAGCAGCGAGGAGAAATGAAATATACAGGCGGCTAATCATTCTGACTTCAGCTGTATATTTATTTCAGAGTAACCCTGTGGCACTGCATCTTTCAGAATGATCTTTCAGAATGTGTCTCCAGCTCATTGGATGTTTTTCTTGCTGTCCTTCAGAGGAGATTGCGGATCTCACTGACCAGCTGTCAGATGGAGGAAAGAGTGTTCATGAGCTCCAGAAGATGAAGAAGAAGATTGAGATGAAAAAAGAAGAGCTGCAGGCGTCACTGGAGGAGTCTGAGGCGGCGCTCGAGGTAAATATGAAGAGAAAAATATGCAAATACTCAGTCTCATTGGCTACACTAATCAATAACACTTTTCTGCAGAATCAGCTTCCCTGCATGAAAGTGAACTGCACTTATTTATGAACGTTCTGTCATCTGGTGGAATATTAAATACAATTGTTTTGTGCAGGCGGAGGAGACGAAGGTTCTGCGTCTTCAGCTGGAGGTTTCTCAGGTTAAAGCAGACCTGGAGCGCAGACTGCAGGAGAAAGAAGAAGAGTTTGAGGCCGCCAGGTACCATAATCTGTCATGGACAACTCAGCACTGACACACAACTGACACTCAACTGGCACATCACTGATTTATAACTGACTCACCACCACTGACATATCACTGACCAGCATATAACTGAAACTTCACTGATATATAACTGACACACTCCTCACACATCACCGACACAACACTAACAGACCACTGACACATCACTGACAGACCACTGACACATCACTGACATATAACTGACATATAACTGACATATAACCAACAATGACATATTGTGGAGACATACCTCAAATATAACTGACACATTACTCACATATCACTGAAACACTTTTGACACCACTGACATATGACTGACACATCACTGACAGACCACTGACACATCACTGACACATTGCTAACACATCACTGACAGACCACTGACACATCACTGACAGACCACTGACATATAACTGACACATCACTGACATATTAACGACAGACCAATAACAGACCACTGACACATCACTGACATATAACTGACACATCACTGACACACCACTGACAAATCATTGTCAGACCAGACACATCACTGACACACCACTGACATAACTGACACATCACTGACATATTACTGACAGACCACTGACACATCACTGACAGACCACTGACACACCACTGACACATCACTGACATATTACTGACAGACCACTAACAGACCACTGACACATCACTGACACACCACTGACACATCACTGACAGACCACTGACACATCACTGACACATCACTGACAGACCACTGACAAATCACTGACATATTACTGACAGACCACTAACAGACCACTGACACATCACTGACACACCACTGACACATCACTGACACACCACTGACAGACCACTGACACATCACTGACACATCACTGACACACCACTGACACATCACTGACAGACCACTGACACATCACTGACAGATTACTGACAGACCACTAACAGACCACTGACACAACACTGACACACCACTGACACATCACTGACAGACCACTGACACATCACTGACAGATTACTGACAGACCACTAACAGACCACTGACACATCACTGACACACCACTGACACATCACTGACACATCACTGACACATCACTGACACATCACTGACACATCACTAACAGACCACTGACACATCACTGACATATTACTGACAGACCACTAACAGACCACTGACACATCACTGACACACCACTGACACATCACTGACAGACCACTGACAGACCACTGACACATCACTGACACACCACTGACACATCACTGACACACCACTGACAGACCACTGACACATCACTGACACATCACTGACACACCACTGACACATCACTGACAGACCACTGACACATCACTGACACACCACTAACAGACCACTGACACATCACTGACATATTACTGACAGACCACTAACAGACCACTGACACATCACTGACACACCACTGACACATCACTGACAGACCACTGACAGACCACTGACACACCACTGACACACCACTGACACATCACTGACACACCACTGACAGACCACTGACACATCACTGACACATCACTGACACACCACTGACACATCACTGACAGACCACTGACACATCACTGACACACCACTAACAGACCACTGACACATCACTGACACACCACTGACACATCACTGACACATCACTGACACATCACTGACACATCACTGACAGACCACTGACAGACCACTGACACATCACTGACACACCACTGACACATCACTGACACATCACTGACACACCACTGACACATCACTGACAGACCACTGACAGACCACTGACACATCACTGACACACCACTGACACATCACTGACACATCACTGACACATCACTGACATATTACTGACAGACCACTAACAGACCACTGACACATCACCGACACACCACTGACACATCACTGACACATTACTGACAGACCACTGACACATCACTGACAGACCACTGACACATCACTGACAGACCACTGACACATCACTGACATATTACTGACAGACCACTAACAGACCACTGATACATCACCGACACACCACTGACACATCACTAACACATTACTGACACACCACTGACACATTACTGACAGACCACTGACACATCACTGAGAGACCACTGACACATCACTGACAGACCACTGACACATCACTGACAGACCACTGACACATTACTGACAGACCACTGACACATCACTGACACATTACTGACACACCACTGACACATCACTGACAGACCACTGACACATCACTGACACATCACTGACACATTACTGACAAACTACTGACACATCACTCACAGACCACTGACAATGACTGACACACAATGGACACACCACAGACACATGACTGACAACTGACATATCACTTGAATAAATTTGTGTAAAGGGTTCAGTGTTTAACCTGCCTGATATAATCTGCCTGAACGAATCTGCCACTAATCAACAATGTCTGTTTATATTCCAGTCTTTTAACTCTTCAGTTTTTCCACCTCAGCCTTTATTTCCTGTCTTTTAACTAACACTGAATCACCATCAGGGTAAGTAACTCAATTATAGATCTTCCTGTTTTTGCAGTTTTCTTGACATACTCCCCTAGACAGAAGCATGAAGCACACACTGACACTGAAGCACACAAGCACACCTGACCTGCACTGACAATACAGCTAATGCTGTTTTACATCTGTCACCATGCTGACGCTCAAACGTCTGTAACTCCGCCCTCTTCTGAAAAGAGCACAATCTAATTTGCATTTAAAGCGACAGTCACCAAAACACCACAATGAGGATCAAAGCCTGAACAGGTCAGTTTCAGAGATCTGGAGAACATCATCAGTGTGCTGTTCTCAGCTCAAACACACACACACACACACACACACACACACACACACACTCTGTAGACACAGCAGAGACACATTTACAGCTGGTTGAAAGAGGTAGGATAGGTCAGCTTTAATGATTTAACTAACTTGGTCTGTTTCCAGGAAGAGCCACCAGAGGGCGCTGGAGTCTCTGCAGGCCGGTGTGGATGTGGAGTCGAAGGCTAAAACTGAAGCCACTAGACAGAAGAAGAAGCTGGAGAGCGATCTCGCGGAGCTAGAGCTGCAGGTGGAGCAGCAGAAGAAGAGCAACAGCGAACTGATCAAGAGCAGCAAGAAGATGCAGCAGCAGATCAAGGTCACTGTTGACTCGCATCTTTAGTTCGAGACCCTCCTGAACATGTGCTGTTCCTCTGAGTCTAGTTTGAGCTGGATTCATTGATGCATTAGTTTGTTTTACTTTAGTTTTTATTAAGTGAACACAGTTTTGTATATTTAATTTAAATATTTACTTATATTTAGTTAACACTGAAGCCAAGACACACACACACTGAATAACCAGAGAACACACACTCTAACCAGAGCAACACATACACAAACACCAGAGTAACACACACTCACCAGAGCAACAAACACACACTGATCATAGCGCACTGTGTGTCCTGCAGGAGCTGGAGGCGCAGCTGGAGGAGGAGTTGCGTGCGCAGGAGACGCTGCGGGATGAACACACACTTCTGGAGCGCCGCTGCGCCCTGCTTACCGCTGAGGGAGAGGAGAAACACAACACACTGGAGAACACACACCGCGTCTGCAGGACACTGGAGACTGAGCTGCAGGAGCAGAAGGAGAAACACACACTGCTGGAGGAGCAGGTACACACACACACACTCAAACATATGTCAGTATTTGTGGCATACGAGGACTCTCCACAAATTATATGGCCCTCTCCCTAAACACTGTGTGTGTGTGTGTGTGTGTGTGTGTGTGTCTCAGCTGCAGGCGGTGTTGTGTGTGAAGAGGAAGCTGGAGGTGGATGTTCAGCAGCTGCAGCAGGAGCACGAGGAGCTGCAGAACGAGCTGAGAGCGGCCAATGACAAGGCCAAGAAATCAGCCTGTGAGGTCAGAACACTGTGTGTGCGTGTATGCGTGTGTGCGTGTCTGTGTGCATGTGTGTGTTTGTGTGTGTGTGTGTTTGTGTACTGTTTTCTATACTTGTGAGGGCTCAATTGTCTTCATCTGTGTGTGTGTGTCTGTCTGTCTGTCCCTCTCTCTATGTGCGTGCGCATGTGTGTGTTTGTATTTCTCTGTGTGCGCAGGCGGCGCGTGTGCTGGAGCAGCTGTGTGTGCAGCAGGAACATGTCTCTGATCTGCAGCGTGTGAAGAAGAGTCTGGAGCTGCAGATCAGAGACATGAGCGGCCGACTGGAGGAAGCAGAGCAGAGCAGTGTGAGGGGGGGCAAGAAGATCATGCAGAAGCTGGAGGCGCGGGTACACACACACACACACACACACACACATGCGGATACAAACACAAACAGTGACTACACACACGTTTATTTTCATAGTCTTCTTTGCTCATATTTACCGTGTGTGTGTGTGCGTGTGCGTGCGTGTGTGTTTGTCTGTGTGTGTGTGTTTGCGTGTGTGCGTGCGTGTGTGTTTGCGTGTGTGTGTGTGGGTATGTGCACGCAGGTGAAGGAGCTGGAGCTGGAGCTGGACGCGGAGCAGAAGAAACACTCGGAGACGATGAAGACTCTGAGGAAGAACGAGCGGCGTCTGAAGGAGCTTCTGTTCCAGTCTGAGGAGGAGCAGAAGAACCAGCAGCGCATGCAGGAGCAGCTGGAGCGGCTGCAGAACAAGATGAAGAACTACAAGAGACAAGTGGAGGAGGCGGTGAGAGAGGGACAGACAGAAGTCTAGCAGAAACCAGAAATGTCTGCAGAAGTATTTTTTGTTTTGTTTATTGTTTAGTTTAGTTTTATTTTGTGTTTGGTTTTTCATTTTGTTTTGTTTCATATTTAATTTCATTTTGTTAGTTTTTTATTTTGTTTTTTTTCCACTTAGTTTCGTTCAATTTTTTGTTTTGTTTTGTTTTGTTTTGTTTTGTTTTGTTTTGTTTTGTTTTGTTTTGTTTTGTTTTGTTTTGTTTTGTTCTGTTTTGTTTTGTTTTGTGTTTCGTTGCGTTTCGTTTTGTGTTTCGTTTCATTTTGTTTTGTTTTGTTTTGTGTTTCGTTTTGTTTTTTGTTTAATTTTTAATTTCGTTTTGTTTTGTTTTGTTTTGTGTTTTGTTTTGTTTTGTTTTTTGTTTAATTTTTAATTTCGTTTTGTTTTGTTTCATTTTTGTTTAGTTTGATTTTGTATTGTTTTTTATTTAGTTTTCTTAGTTTTTTGTTTTGTTTTGAAAAACAGACAGTAATTACTTTTTATTTTATTTAGTTAGCTTTTTTTGTTTGGTTTTCATATATTTCATTCATTCATTTTCTTTTCAGCTTAGTCCCTTAATTAATCTGTGGTCGCCACAGCAGAATGAAAGCCACAGAATGTTTCTGTGTGGAGTTTGCCTGTTCTCCCTGTGTTGCCGTGGGTTTCCTCTGGGTGCTCCGGTTTCCCCAACAGTCCATATGGGGGTGTATGGGTGTTTCCCAGTACTGGGTTGCAGCTGGAAGGGCATCCACTGTGTAAAGCATATGCTGGTATTGTTGGCGGTTCATTCCGCTGTGGTGACCCCTGATAAATAATGGTCTGAGCCAAAGGAAAATAAATGACTAATAATAATAATGAAACTGAAGGCACTAGAGAGTTATTAATATCTAGTCATGAAGGATGTTCCAGTAAGCTGAAGTGTTTCTGCTGTACAGGAGGAGCAGGCCAACATGAATCTGGCGAAGTACAGAAAGACGGTCCACGAGCTGGACGATGCAGAAGAGCGAGCCGATATTGCCGAATCTGCGCTCACTAAAATCAGGACCAAGAACAGAGGCAGCTTCGGCAAGGGCTACTCGTCTGTGAGTCTCCGTCAGCAAGCACAGTTCTCCAGAAACACTTCTATCTGCTCATTTATAACCACGGGGATCATCCCTAGTATGAACAGCTAAGCTTTGACCATATTTGGAATGGTCATGAATATTAATGAGCTCTGCTCTGATGCTCCACAGCCCATGTCAATACCAGCTTTCTCTCTTTCTCTTTGTCTTACACACACACACACACACACACACACACACACACACATATGTTTATGCTAATGAGGGAGAGATGGGCACTAGTGGGCGGGGCTTTCCCCCTCTGATGACACGTACAGCAGGAGAATGTCAATCACAGTGTTCCTGCATCAAGCCTGACTAGACCAAACACAGTTCAGTACTGCTGAGCATCAGAGACTGCTGGAGATACACACACACTGCTGACACACACACACACACACACACACACACTGCTGGGGTTAAATCAAGCAGTCATTTCTGCCTAATAGGTGCCCTTTAAACTCAGTCTACATGTGTTTGTTGCCTCATTACAAACATATGCGGCTAATTCCACAATATACACGTTAAACTAACAAAAAATACAAATAAACAGACCTCAAGCCATTTAGAAGTGTATAATCTGTATATCCTGCATTTTGTGTTCTGTTTTGTGTTCTGATGGCTGTGAACAGACGGCTGTCTCATCTGTCTGCATCTTGTAATGTGTGTGTGTGTGTGTGTTTTCTCATTGCATAATATATAAGAATATTCAAGACTTTGCTCTGTCTGCCTGGAGCGTGTGTGTGTGTGTGTGTTCAGTAATCTCCGCTGTCTGTGTGTTTTCTCAGGGTTACAGTACGCCATATGCCGGTCTGCTGAGGTCACCTAGTTCAGTGGGGTCAGAGGGCAGAGGTGAGAAGGTCACCGATGATGACGAGTCCATCAGCTCACTCATTCCCACATACCTGAACTCCATCAAGAAACTGATGATCGATTAGAGCGTGCCGGAGTCAGAACAAAAGAAGCTAAACATATGACTCTTTTTATTTCGTCCTGGAGTTCAGGAGGTGTGAATCTTTTTATCATATTCTGGATTCAGAAAAGAGAAGCTAAACGTATGAATCAATAAATAGAGCCTCGAGTCATCAATCCTCTTTCACATCCTGAAACTGAAAAAAGGAAATGCATGAATCTTCTGAATCTAAACATGTAAACAAGCATATCTGTTCAGTGTTACATCATTTATTACTATCAAGAAAAGTTCATCTCTGTGTAATATTCCCGACTTTATTCTTATGGCAGTTTTATTACGGAACAGTTTTGTTGACTTTATAAAGAAAAATACTTTTATAGAATGTAAGATTCAGATTTATAAGACACAAGCATCTGTGTGGTTGCAGGTTTGCATCTGCAAAATAACCCTGTCATAAGGCAGTTCCAGTAATAACACAAATTATCTCTAAAGAAAATGTTTGTATGAGTGTTTAGAGACATTTCGTCTTGAAATTATTATCTTAAAGAGACCGCTAGAGCTGTATTTGACAGTGTGAATCTATATTCAGCTTTAATTATCATCAAATAATTGTCTTATTTTCATCTTCTGTGTGTACCTTTCCCTGAAACATCTATTTCCTGTATTATTCATATTTCAGTTGTTAATAAACACATTTAGTGTCACACTTCATGTTCTGGTCAGCTCTGTTCCATCGGCAGATCAATCTGTAAACCTGATTGATAAACTCTGGCAGGCACTGAGGCACTCTGTCAGTTCACTCTTTAAAACAGTACGATGATGACAATAATGCAGAACATCGTGTTTTATACACGTCGTGTGGTGTGGAGTCAGGATTGAGGTTAGCATCTGGAGCTAAAGACCGAAATGATGGAAAATCTCAACTCTGCTAGTGGCTTAAAAAGTTGAACAATAATTGAAACAACAATTATCAACAGAATCAACAGTTCCCTATCACATCTGCCTTGTTTTACATTAATAATGATTTAGGTTCAAAGTAAATTGTTCATCTGCTGTATGTTGTTCCAGTTTAAGGTAAATAAACAGAGAATCAAAAGAATTATACAAGTTATACGTCATAATCAAAGCCCACATTCAACTGCCTGAATAACCTATCATGGAAAATAGAACAGTGTGTTGAATGGATATTCAGTCATTTGATCTGTTATGTGAGTCAGTGTTTGCATTAGTTTGGTATTTATAGGAAATACTGTAGTGCTGATGAACATACTGAAGTGAAGCACTCGAGTTATTCTACAGTTGCTATGGTAACACAACAACTATAGTAATTCATCTGTTGTAGTGATTCTACAGTCACTATGGTAACACAACAACTATAGTAATTGATCTGTTGTGGTGATTAAACAGTTGCTATGGTAACACAACAACTATAGTAATTGATCTGTTGTGGTGATTCTACAGTTGCTATGGTGACACAAACACTATAGTAACTGATCTGTTGCTGTGATTCTACAGTTGCTATGGTAACACAACTGAACCAATACTTTAGTTTTCCACAACTATAGGGTACATTGTACTATAACACACCACAGTTTACTGAAGTAAATCTAAAGTGTACTGCAGTATATATTACAGCAAAAGATTATAACACACTTTACTTTAGTATGGTTCAAAAAAACAGTATAGACATCAAACAGTGTGATATCCATGGGTAATTCACAGGCATGCTTTTATTAGTGCATCTTCAGAAACATAGTCAATCCAGCTGGAACATCTCGACAGTCATTTTAGAAAAGCTGTTAATTGATTGGGTATAAAAATAAGCATTATGCAGAATCATTCAATATATTATCTGTAGCTCCATCACTATATACATCTCGTTCTACAGTAGAGGGAAACAGTATTAATGACAGTTGGAGACGTCTGTATATTTATGCATTCAAACATCCTGACAGAAAACCAAAGTAAAGTAAAGCGTCTTCACATGTGCCTGTGTATATTTGTCTTTTTGGGTATGAGAGTGATGTAAAGCCTGAGTCCATCACGGTATTGTGAATCAACAGATCATTTCTGTTTCTGGACTAATAAATATAGATATGTTTAGGATTTGCTCATATTTTGCAAACATTACCAGCAACATTATTGCTCTTTAATTAAACTATTGATATTAGAGCTGTGCAATATGACAACAAATAGTATTATTTCATACATAGTTAATTTTATGGCCTTGCAAAGTACACTGTTTACAGTAATATTAGTCCATCATTAGAGCAAAATCTGCAGACGGAATTACTGAATGCAGAGATAATACAGTGTTTACATTCAGCTTTTTATTTAGCAATATTTTATGTAATCATAATTATATCACATTAATGTTTATTTCATATTTCTACATTCTTTATCAAACATTTATTCAGAAAGTTTTAAATATGGTGAGAAAAATCCCATGTGATCAATATATATATATATATATATGAACTATTAATAGTTCTGAAAATATT